CCACTGTGTATTTGAGTTTGACACCCCTGCTCTAACAGAAAGTGGTATTGATGTTATTTGTTTGAAAAGAATCACAGAATATGATGAACACTGTTATTGTCTTCCACAAGGAGACAGTATTTCACCCTATAGGGTGAAATTTAACTGAATGAATTTTTAAGTGAAACTACACATATATGAGTGTGCTGATGTTGTCATCCCCACCCTTATTTCACTAAAAACAACTTGCATCATGGTAAGGAAATGGGAAATGTATTACACTATCCATAGTTTGCACTAGATTTAATTTTAAAGGTTAGTGTGAAGGTTAGTTTAGTTTTAGCATGTAAGGCCTTTCCATCTCCCCTGAGCAGAACAATTCATCTCCTCTTGTAGGATGGGCAAGCATTCAAATGTTTGTCCAGAAGAAATGTTATGACTGACTGTGGTCCTAATAAGCATTTTGGTACGGAGTTAAGGGAAGCCAGACCAAAAACCAAAAAAGTAAGTTTAAAGACAGATTTAGGACAGAGTGATAAACCTTTCCATGGATTCAGATGGATACACAGCTACACTCACAACATGTGACAAGTTAAAGCTGGTTTAGTTTAATTCAATTCAGTTTTATTTATATAGCACCACATGGCAGCAGCAGTCACCTCAAGTCGCTTTGGAAGGTAAAGATCCTCCAGTGATACAATACTGAAGAGGTAAAGCAGAAACAGAAGGTGCAGAGTTTAAAATAGGATTTTATTTCTTTTTAGTCTTTCTTTGATAACCTTAAACTGTATGTTTAATCAACACATAAAAACACATAAAACACATAAAAAACCTTCTGTACTTAAAATAGAAGACAAAAAAAACCCTGTGCAGGGTTTATAATGCCTAGGAGGCGAAAACAGTAAAAGAAAGTTGGACTTTGGGTGGAGACCTCCATGCTTTTGAGTTTTTGTGTCTCAAGATCAGGGGCATCTATCTCCTCCTGTGACCATCTTATGTTTTATTGTTTCCTCTATTTTTCCTGTATTCCTGTAAAGCACCCCTCTGACAGCCAAACCCATCTGTTCTCTGGCTGGATTGGTCAATGTCATGTCAATCACAAATTTAACAATCAGCTGAAAGGAAGAAAAATCAGGTCAAAATT